TCCTCCCATAACCAAAAGGTTGCGGGTTTGATCCCTGGGCTGGGCACATAAGGGGGCAACCAATTGATGCTTCTGTCTCACATTGATGTTTCTCTCCCTCTCTTTCTGAAGGTAGTGAAAAAATGTCCTCAGTTGGGGATTTAGAAAAACAAAACAAAAGTGTATCTGTATAAAACGTGATTCATCCATAACAAGGAGTGAAGTACAGATTCATGCTAAGACATGGATAAAATTATGAAAACATGCTAAATGAAAGAAGTCAGACACAAAAGGACACCTATTGTATGATTTCACATATATGAAATGTCCAGAATAGGCAAATCCTTACAGACAGAAAGTAGATCAGTGGTTGCCAGGGGCTGGAGGGAGTAGGGAATGGTGAGTGCTAGTAATCCAGGGTTTCTTTTGGAGGTAATGACAACCTTGTGAATGTACTGAAAACCTCGGTACACTTTAAAATGGTGAATAGGGTATGTGAATTATATTCCAATTTTAAAAGTCAAGAAGAAAGGCTTTTAAATAAAACTTACAGGTGCTTTTGTTTTGTAAACTATTGCCTAATGGTTTCCCCCTTCAGGGTGTGTACAGGATGCAAGAATTTGTTGTTTGTCTTCTCCCCCACCCCCACCCCCGCCCCTCTCTTCTCTACTCCCTCTCAAGATCAGTGAACATATCCTCAGGTGAGGATTTAAAAAAAAAAAAAAAAAAAAAAAAAAGGCATGAGCAAACAAAAAAACAGAAATTGTACATCTTCAAAATTAAAAACCTTTGTGTTTCAAAGAATACCTTTAAGAAAATAAGACAACATGCAGATATTAACAAATTATGTATTTGTTAAGGGTCTGGTATCTAGAATATATAAAGGATTTTTACAACTCAAGAATAAAAAGATCCAATTTAAAATGTACAAAGGATTTTAAAGATGTTTCTGAAAAGAAATAAGCACATCCAGATTATTAAAAGTGGCCGTGTCACAGTGTCACAGAGGAGAACCATTCCAAAGCCTGCTTCCAAGCTTATTTCCCCGGCTCCTGAGCTTCCCTGGTTGTGGGTCCTTACCTTTCATCCTTGCTTCTCTGGCACTGTCCAGGTTCTCCTTATAGCATCTCCCAGTAACATTCCAGTCCTGCCCTCTTCATCATCTTGGGTCTGAGGCTGGTCACTTCTTGTCAGCATACATCAGTAAGCAAAACTCTGATTCACTAAGTTCTTTACCTGGTTAATATTTTAATCAGAATTGCAGAGAAATGAACTCCACTCGTTTGTTGGTAAAAAATGACTTTGTTGTGTGAATCTTACTTACTGTATTCCAAAAGTAATCTATCACATTAACATTTGTAGATGAGAATCATACTCAGCTTGGTATAGGGCCCCTTAAAGTCATCTGGTCTAACCCCTTTCCGAAAGCGTTGATCTGTTATACTCGTGCTAAACGGCACGTCAGCCGAAGTCCAAAGAAATCCCCTATTGGTGAGAATTCTCTCAAGTTATTATTAGAAAGCTGTAAAAAAAGTTTCTCTGTAGAATAAACAGTAAGCTTTTAGCTAAGGCGTCTGCCCTCTGATCTAGTTCTGTGCTTCCAGAGGGCCACACAGAACAAGTCCAAGGCCTCTTCAATGTGTCAGTTCTCCAGAGGCTCAAGACAGGAATCAAGGATAGCTTTCTAATATCTGTAATTCACCTATGTGGCAAATAGTCTTAAAAGTTATTTGGGAGAAATTGATGCACTTGCCAATTTAATTTCTAAATAGTAAAAGAACAATGCATTTGTTTCCGGGGTGATAAAATTTTTCAACCATCGTTAACTGTTATTGAACATTCTAAGTTTTCCATGGCCCACAAAGTTTAAAATAAACTAAGTGTGCAAACACATCATGCTAAATACATCAAATTATTTAAAATTTTTATTATGACAATTGACATATATTAAGTGAAAGAAATGACAGAAGTAGTCAATAAAACATTTTGAAAGTAAAATGTATATTGTACAATTAGGCCTTAGCTATAAAATAGCTTTAGGCCTAGCTTATAACACCAAGAGTTCTGATCAGACTGTAGCAAGACACTGAACATTTCATTAACAAAAATATTGGCACCAGCCACAACATATTTTGGTTGTCACTTACAAGGAGTATTATATTTAAACAACTAAGCACTGCAATTCTAACACACTAGGTGTTCATACACTGCAGTTAGCCCCTGAAGCTTTAAGCTACCAGGAATTCCCACATTTCCCAGGCACAAAATTTACTTTGTGCATTATTGGAATCACATTTCCAGTTTTCAGATGTCTTCCCCTCCCACCCCTCACACACATGCAGTACGATATATGTGGTAGAGAGCACTCCAGCTTCCTCTATGTGACTAACAGCACGTAGGTCCTGATTACCTCAACAGTTTTAATCTTGGAGCTTCTGCTTTAGCTCTCATCTAACAACAAAATAAAGCATTCTGAGAACCTATTCCAGGAATAATTTGTTTATGCATTAAGAAAATAAAGCATTTCATATAAGCATGCCTGAAAATCCAAGAGGCATTCTAATCAAACACTCCCTGAATTCCAGCTATTACTTTAAAATCAAAATGAAAATATAACATATATCATTTACAAATTCTTATCTGGAATTTGTATGCTTCACCTGGAAATTCATGATTCCCAGACTGCACCTCTGATCAGATGAGGACAGCCAAGAAACTGACATCCCACATTAGCTCACAATAAAGGTAGTTCGGATAGAAATTATGACACACTTAGATGAATTTAATTCTTTACAAGAATACACTTGTGCTACAAAGGTGAGATATTAAAATGGTAAAATTATCAGATGGCAAAAAAAAAGAACTACTGGCATTTAAACAAGAGTCTTAATATAAATTATGGTAAAATATGCCTAAGACTGCTAGAATCAGCAGCTCCACAAGACATCAAAATTTTTTTTTTTTTTAATAAATGAGGGAACTGGAATTTGAAGCATGTTACTATCCCTTCCTGCCATGCTTCCAGTAAATATTCCTGTGGAATTAAGTCTACTGAATTAAAAAAAACAAAACACAAAATGAACAATTCTAGTTTTTCATTTCTTTTACAAATTGAAAAGAAACCAAACTCTGCCCTACCCACTCCCAACCGCATCACCGGACGCTCCCTTTCAAGGTGTATATAAAACCTTTTGGTAGGTTTGAGCAAGCTACAAGTCAGATCCATTATCAAGAAGCTACTTTGATAAGCGAACAAAACACCAGACCAACATTGAGAATAATCTAGTTAGGCATCACAAAAATCACTCTTAAGAATATGCTCTTAACTGACAAAATTTGGGCTATTATAGCTGTTTGGAAGTTGAAAACTCCATTTACATTAACATAAACTAGATCTCTGTATGTTTATTTGTGTCTGTGTGTATAATTTTCATGCAATGATCTTAAAGCTTTGGCGACAAGGATTATTTGCCTAATTTCAAAGCTTGTCCATATAGCAGTATTGATATGCACCAACTTTGCTAAAGGGCAGGAGAATGAAAAAGACCATGGCACAAAAATTTTTTTTAAACAATCTTAGGTTTAATTACATAATGCACCTGTAGATGTTCTAGCATAAACACAGTTGTAAAAATCTACATCCTATTTTAGGGTATTTTCCCACTTCTCATCCCTTAAAAGCTGTACAGTTATAAAAAATGTGACTCTCAAGCAAAATAAACTTTTTTTTTTTGCAACATACAAAATAAGTTAAACGATTCAGAAGGTCTGAGCCATTACGTTTCCCAATGACTGTTCTGGCTATCCATAAGCATGACACGCGGCTCCTGGTCTATGACCAGAACTCAATAAATACAGGTCAAACAAAACCCCAAACACTTAAATTAGATTTCTTTAGAAACTGATGAAAGTTAAGAAAACATATACTTAGGGTTAACAATTCCATTCTTAACTTACATTATCCAGTGGCAAAATGAACAAGGTGGGTCACTCAGTCCTTAGTGCATTTTCTAGCTTGTACCAGTTTGGCAAAAAAACACAAATGTAGTTCCTTTAAAAAATGTTTCTTATTAAAAATGTCTAAAGAGCTTAAGGAATCTCTACACACCTAATAATTTGTTATGCCCTCTTATATAACTTATGCATAGGTTAGACATCTTAAAGTTATTAAAATAAAAATAGCATCTTCAACTAACTGAAATCACTACAATGTGCCAGAATTGGGTTTGCAGCATCTCCCAGAGCAAAATGGTATAAATATAAAATGCAAACAAACAAACTGAGCTCACATGACCAAATGAGGGGGAAAATCCACTAAGGGAATCCTATTCTTATCAATTTCTGAGAGGATTTATAAATAAAAAAGTGTTTGTACAATCTAAAGTGGTTATATACCAAGCACACTACATTTTGGCTTTTAACAACTGCTTGCTTGCTTGGGAATACCCCATCTTCAACATGTTACAGTTACTTAGCAATTCATGGCACTCAAAAAATGTCAAATGATCATTTAAGTGGGAGGGAAATATTTTGAAAACAAACTAAGTGTACAGGCAACACAATAACCAGGTTTAAATACACGGATAGGAAAAGGCTTTGTCTTTTGGGATTGGTAGGTATAAAAACAATGAAGAAATCAGCAGTTAGCTTGCCACTTCTAAGGTAGGTTTACAGATACACGCTGGGAATGGTGGCTGAAATAGGAATGGACTTTATTCTAAATAAGTTTAAAAACATAGTAAGCAGAGGATCAGGGAGATTACAGCAGATTTGCAATTTTGGCATTCTCACTTCTTGGGAGAACTAGAAATATACTTTTAGAATGTCAAACCAAGATGACTTTCATTATTTTTCTCTAGACTTTTTGTAATTAAATGTTCATAACTTTCTATCAATTACAATTTTTATCTGATTCTTATGTCAATTAATGATCTCAGAGGATTCATTTTAATCCTAATATCTAAAGTATGTATATGTTTATATATATATATCTATATATCTATATCTATATATTCATTCCATCCAAAAAAAAAAAAAAAAAGTATAGCTGTGAGGAAACACCATGAATCATGGACCTGCATTGTATTGGTGAAGGACAGAGTTCACAACTCTTCTGTGTATTAAACTTGGAGATTCATCGGGTTCCCTGCAGTTGTATGGTAGTACAAACTAGCGAAGGGTGAACATCTCAGCCTCACAAACATAAGCTAAAAAGATATTCCTTATGATAAAAGGAATTCCGTCAATCTCACTTAAAAATAGATGAACATTTCCCCATTTCTAAATAACAAGCATCTAAATGCATATTATGGGATGAGTTCTATGAACTGAAAAATGGTGACTAGTTTATAATAGCCTTTTAAAATTAATTCGTTTAAAAACCTCTTTTCAACAACTTCCTCAGCATTTGAAGTCCTTGGTTCTTTGGCAGGTCACACTCATAAAAAGATTTTCAGTAGACATCAATTTATTCTAAATGAAATTCTTTATTCTCTGAATTTGCAACCTTGACCAACTGGAAAAAGATGTGTCAAGGAAACCTAACCTCAGTATATCAGGTATATTCCTGAAAATATTTCTGCCATCATTCTCTAGTAACATACCAACAATGGAACATGTATTACACTGAATACTATTTCATCAGCTCAAGCCTGCAAAACCAAAATGTGTATTTTCAGAGTTTTTTCACATAATTCAAAGCTTCTGCTTTGTGACAATTTAGCTCATTTTCAAACCTTTACAGAAATTGCAAACTAAATAGTACTAATCTACATCTCCCCTCAATACATTTGCTATACACTGTGGAGTTTTATACCAGGAATCCAAACTGTATTTCAAAAAAGGAGGTTTAAAGTATTAAAGGGCTCTATTACACTATAGCAGCTACTGTGAACCTAAATCCATGGTTATCACTCTATCAACAAGGACAGAAGACATTCTAAACTCTAGATGAATTGCTCTCTTCCTATGCATTTCCAGTTCCTAATGACTGAATTATATCTTTGGATATAAAATGTTTACTTTTTCCTAATTAAAAAAGAACTTCTTCAAAGTATGTTCAGAGTTAATATGTCAGTGAACAGACTCTTTCAGGGACTGAATCAAAACACCAAGTAGCAGAGTTGTTTTGAACTGTTCATTTAATCACCCATAATTAATCTACCTGCATAATAATAATTTATAAGTATCAGTTGCTTGATTTACATTTTTGTAGATGAAACATAGTTAATTGGTGTAATCAGAATGTAAGGATAGAAGGAATACACTCACTATCAACTTCACAAACACTTAATTCAAGTTTGGTAAATAACAGGCAGCAAAAGTGGTATCATCACCCACATCAATGGGACATTTGCTAAATGGAATACTCAGTCTTCACAATGATAAAAATTACCTTTTGCTCTCTGTAGCAGAAGAATAAAAAGAACTCCTTATTCACATTAGGCATCCTGTAAAAGAAATAATCTACCCACTTAATACTTTTTATCACTTGCGTAACTAAACAGAATAGGTGGAAACAGGGGCTGGTGTGTCCAGAGGTAGAAACAGGGTACAGGGAGTTTCCACACAGTAGTGGCTTTACCAGCTTCAGGACTAAAATAGTGGAGGGAGACTGGATGCAGAATAGGCCACGGGCACATTCTAACCACTTACCGTGCACTAGTAGGATTCCTTCTGTTGCCAGCCTGTTTTAGTTTTAAAAGGCTAACATTCTTAACAGACTTACAAATAAATGAAACAAGCCTAGCTAGAAAGGAGGCCTGTAAATGAACGTGGCTCCTTACATAGCGCTCTGCTCTACTGTCTATGAATGTAAGCCCTTCCCTCCCTTCCAGTGGAACATTGTCTCAAAAATCACAATTTACTTGGAACCACATGCTATTTGTGCACCCTATTTTAGGCTGCTTTCATTATTTTATTTTTATACAGATACATATACATTGCTAGAATCAAAGCAAAAAATATTAATGGGCAGGTACTACAGAACTAAACTTGGAACAAAACAAACAAAAGAACCAATAACTGAAAACAACAGCTATAAACTTTCAAGGCCAAAAAGATAAGATTTAAGGGCAACACCTGTTGAGGAAGGAAAAAAAGGAGTATAAAGTTTCTAGAGAGGTATTTATAATGCAAGTCTAATGTCAGCTTTTTAATAATAAAAAAGAGAAGTGCTTTACTATACACTGACTAGCACATACAATGCTTAATTTGGAGAGAAAAATTAATGAAGTTCTTGGGCCAGCAGCAGATATGCTGTGTCCATTGCCGGCAACAGACACAACACTGGAACAGAAAAAAACCCCAAATCCCAGGGCAAAAGTATTCACAGAAGTAAGTAATGGCTGAAGGTTTCAGAATTTGACAGGCAAGGTTTAATCACAAGTGCTACACTTTGTACAATGTTATTTATGGCTCTGCCTGAAATTTTACAGCTGTAACAGAAACTAAGACAAAGTTCATATTTTAGTGTCAATTACATGTTAGATATTTAGTCACAAACCCCTTTACCTCAAACAAAGGGCTTATTTATTTATTTAAGTGTTGAGATGTTTGAAATGGATGTCATACCTATTAAGTACATTGGCGGTTCTCAATCAACTCTATGTTGGTCATGTGACTGTTAATGTATTTTAATAGAAGTCTAATGGCTAAAGGCCAAAACTACATTCAAACCCTGCTAATATATCCAGGCAGATAAGAAATTCCAACACGCACACGCACACACGCACACACACACACACATACGCACGCTAAAACTCAAACTCAAAACCTCCCAAAGGAACTGCTTTGTTTGTAGACTTCAATTTGAAGTAGATACTAAGGGCAAGAATAGACCAGTTAAAATTCACCTGAAAATCCTTTCCCCTTCTTCAAATGTGCTAAAATACCACTGTCAGCCTATCATCTCTTCATGTATGTTATGTATAGATGTATCTGTTTCAAAATGATATTTCATATATTTAAATAAGTGGCCAGAAGATGTTACACTATTGGCAAAGTTTACAGTCTACCTGGGCCTTGAAAGAGACCACCACGCTCAATTCACTAATAACTCTCCATGATAGTATATTAGAGGCCACCTCATCACCACTGCATAAAGCTGTTTTAAAAAATTTGTTGCTAGCACAATCTGGTTGTCAAAGCTTCATTATACATTTTACTATACAAATTTTTTTCAGATGATTTTTTTTTTAAAACAAGAAACTCCACTGTAACAAACTTAGGTTAGTTTTTTTTTTAAATGATGGTACTTTCTCAGTCTCTTCTTTATCAAGTGTGGTTATCTCCAATAGTAAACAAGTTGATTTCATGAATGCTGTTACTAAATGACTTATGTATGATGTTATCTACAATTATCAAACTGCGACTTTACAGACTTGAACTTTTAAACAGTCTGTTAATCATCATTTATGCCACAAATGTTTAAATATAATATATATTTAATATGAAAAAGCTAAAGCACAAGTGCTTTCTCCCACCCCTAATTCTGTTTTGGGCCCTTGCAGATTCGGAATGCATTCTTATCCACCCTTTTTCACAAAGTCAGGAGAGCTCAGGAAATATAAAGTCAAAAATATACAAATCTTTGTTGTTATTATAATAAGATTTCTTTTCCATGAATGAAATTACCAAGGACCATGAACTTGGAAAAAGAAAGTGAAAAGGAATTTACAGCAATTATTTATCTTCAAAGTTCAAAACTGGTCACTTCACAGAAAGACTTCAGGGTTTGTTGAAATTTTTCTTCTAAAAAGTCATTCTGTAGTGGAGTTTTCTAGGAAAAATAAAACCGCTTTTAATAACTGGCCCGCTGGTGTGAGAGCTACCGTGGAATAAATTAGCACAAAAATGGAAAAAGTCTTATAACTGTTCACTGTTACAGACGTAATCAACAAGGTCAGTCACTCTCAAAAGCTCATCTTCCTCCTCTTCTGGTGCCCCTGCCTCCTGCCCACCACTTGTCCCATTGGGGGCCAGGCTTGCACTGGCTGTGCTATTGTCCTTAGGGGTCTGAGGCTTCTCAGCTGGCTTGCCAATCAAGTTCTCAATGGCTTTGCCAGGACTCTGTCCATTGGTGGAAGGTAAGTCCACTAAGCTATAGTCCAATGGGCTCCCCACCTTGCCTACATTTTCAAAGTCCTCTTCCTCATCACTGTCTATCCGATAGGGCTTCTTGGTGCTCTCTTGTTCTGAGGGCAGGACCCTGGGCTGGCTGTCACGGGCAGGCTGACCTGCCTCTCCATGAACATTGTCACAACTCTCCTCTTCATCTGTTTCAATCCGGTGCAGCCGTTTTCGGGATGGTTTGCCTTCCTCTTCTTCCTCATCTGCTTCTGAATACTCATCTGTGCTTCGACCCCGCTTTCGAACTGACCGTTTTGATTCTTTAGCTAACTCCTCATCTTCAGAGTTCTTGGACATATAGCTCTCTAAAATAAACAGCACATTTAACCATAAACAAATTTAAGTAATTCTCCCCGCTCCCCACATTCACCACATGTCCACTTTCAGCCTTGCCTGTACACAAACATTTCCCTTCAATAATTGGCTGGATTTTTCTCTCCCATAGTCCCATAACAGTGCCCATTATAATTCATGGTATACCTATGATTTTAGGACAGAGCAGAATGAAATTTCTTGGAGAAATCTTGACTAACACTGGACACCTGAAACACTGCTCTCATTCCATTTTATTATATGTCCTTGCTAGTCCTTAGATGTCGCCTCTTCGTCTATACTTAAAACTCTGTGATCTCACCTAGTCTCTCATGGTGTAGCACAACACCTATATGCTGGTAATTCTCACATTTGTTTTAGGCAACTCCTAAATTCCAGACTCATGTATCAAACTGCTTACTCAAAATCTATGTATGCTTGGATATCTAAACAGACACCTCAAACCTAATGTGTTAACGGAGCTCCGAAACCCCCACCTCAAACTTGTGCCGTTCTGGTTTCCACCATCTTAGTTATTGGCCTCTCTATTCTTCCATTCACTCAGTCATCCTTGATTCTTTTCTTTCTCCCATCTAACCCAACAGTAGATCATTTAGGTCTACCTTCAAAAAATATCTATGATTTGACTTTTTCATCTCTTTACTGGCTCCTGCCCTATTCTTACCCACTATCATCTCTCACCTGGCTTGTTTCAATGGCCTCCTACCTGATCTCTTAGATTCTGACTTTGTTCCCTTCAACTTATGCATAACACAGCTACTATAAGCAAACAAAACCATAAGTCAGATCATATCACTTCTTTGCTGAAAATCCTCCAATTTTTTCTCATCTCATACCAAATAAAATCCAAAGCCTACATCCAATGGCTTACTACACTACCCAATATGGTAGCCAGTAATCACATGTGGCTATTTTAAATTTAAATTAATTAAAATTAAATAAAAATTAAAAATTCAATTCGTCTGTTCCACTAGCCACCTTTCCTTTCAAGTGCTCAACAGTCACACAATACTAGTGCCTACTATTTTGAACAGCAGATACAGAGCATTCCCACCATTACAAAAAGCTCAACTGGAGAGCCCTGTTACTCCTCAGATGTTGGCAAAATATTTTTGTAAAGGGCAGTCTCTATTACAACTATTCACCTCTGTGGGAAAGCAGTACAGACCATATGTAAAAAAATGGACATGGCTATGTTTCCATATACCTTGATTTACAAAATCTTTCTTTACACAAATAAGTGGGCTGTAGTTTGCTGACTACTTCTCTGCATGATCTGGCCCCTGATTTATCTCCTGCTTTATCTCATACTGTTCTCCTCCTTCCTCTCTCTCCTCCAACCTGGCGTCCCCTCTATTCTCTGAACATGCCAGGTACAAACTTGCCTCAAGACCTTTATGTTGTGGTTTTATCTGCCTGTATTACTCTTTAAGATAATCGTATGGCATACGCCAACATTTCTTTCAGGTATTTAGTCAAATGTCTTCTTAGTGAGATATTCTTGTAGTACCCAATCTCAGATTCTAACTACCCTCCCAACTGAACGTTCTCCCCTCTTTTTACCCTCCACAGCATTTATCTCCACCTAATGTATCATATATTCTACTTATTTATCTGGTTTATTGTCTCCCCCTCCCCAAAGAGTTACATGAGGGAGTTACACATTTTTGGCTCTTTTGTTCACTTTTCTATTCCCAGTGCCCAGAAAAGTGAATAGTTTTTGTTTTTTAAAAATATTTGTTTTTGATAGTTGAATTAATGAATTTATGTTTGCTTTTAATGACACATGAAGATAACACATACTCAACCAGATGTGCATCGTCCTTCTTTAACCACCCTTATCCAAACACCCCCACACCTTCTCTCATGGCATGGGCTCAAATTTAATTGACAAGGATTTATGAAAGAAAACAATCTTCCAAACAGATAAGTGATGGAGAATATACCCCCAAAAATGGGGAGGTGAAGTTCAGAATCATTTAAAATGAACTTGGGAAGAATTCTGAAATAATTGAACAGACTAAATGGATTCCACAAATTCATATTTTAGAGCTTTTCCTGAACTTCTGGTACGGGGCACAGCTATAGCTATTAAGAGATGAAACAGTTACCAATTGAAGCTCTCTTTTAAGGTAGAGAGAAACAGTAAGAACTGTTTAGTTTTTTCAGGTCATCAAATCAAAAGAAATTATTTCCAAACGAGGGCCATAAGTAATATAGGAGCAGAAAAAAGCTTCCTCGGGTCACAATTTTCTGAGACTTTTCTAGTTTCAGTGAAGAATTTACTATAATGGAGACCTTAAAAATTTGCATTCTGTCAAGTATCATTTACTTGAACTACAAATAGTGACCAAGCATAAAATAATGCGTTTTGTCTCAGAAATATCAGTGGTTATATGAATTTCTTAGAAATGGTGTAAAATCACAATCCTCTCTCTTTGTAACTTCTATTTCTGCCTTGTCCAAACTTTAGTAAATTGGAAATCTATTCCCTACCTTCACTCTCTGAGCTGGAAAGTCTGCGCTTGTGAACTCGTCTGATTTCTTTACCACGTCGTAAACTCTTCTGGGAACCATCACTCTCTGAATCTTCTTTGTAGTTAATTTGTCTTTTCTGGTTCCTCCTTGACCGCCTTCGCCGAGTTTCTACATAATCATCACTCAAGTCGTCGCTAAAATCACTTTCTATTAGAAAAAAGGAATATAGAAGAAAGTCACATACAAAATTTAAGTCCATTAAATAGAAATGTTATAAAAATGCAAAGTTATGAAGCAGAGTTCATTCATAACAATTTTTAAATGAATAATAACTTTAAGTCCCTTATTTTCTTTTTAATAATGAGTAAATCTGGGGCCTTTATGCCAAACTTCACAATTATACCGTATCAGCAGTCAATCCTCAAGATGAAAAGATGATTTATAAAACCTTTATCTCATTCGGCTGAGAGCAACCCAGCCAGCTGCACGGCTGCCACAACTGCTCTTCCTGCCTCATGATAACCTGCTGTTCCTGTGTATGTAGCTGCACAGCTACAGTCTCAACTTTACAATGGACCACACAGGTTAAGCTCTCTAACTACAAAAAAAGTGAGGAGACTGCTTCAAAGAAATACAAAATTGGAGTTATATTTTTGGCTTTTTCCACATGGAATTAAAATCTGGTAGATACATAGGGCTACTTAAACTCTCAAAGCATTGCTAAGTAGCACTGATTTTTGTTACCTCTGATCAATAAACCAGAGTCAGACTAAGGCACTGTGTCAACAGTTTTTTTAGGAGTGCTAACAAATTCCACTGAATTATCACACCCACCCTGGATCTCTAATAGACTCTGAACATTTCAAAATGGCTGACCAATAGTTTGAAGACGTTCTCATCCAAATCTGGGAAAAACTGAGCCTAAATAGTGATGGTAACATTTTATATCCACTGACTAAAATAAGAACCCACAAGTACATTCCGATATAAAGAATATAAATATATAGGGGAAAAGGGAAAATATTTCCTCACAGAATACCAAATAATAAACATAAAAGGATAATGAAATTAGAAATTATCAACAAATGTTAAAACTAGTGGGTGAGCCCTGGCCGGGGTGGCTCGGTTGCTTGGAGGGTCATCCGAAAAGGTTGTGGGTTCAATTCCCAGTCAGGGTGCATATGGGAGATGATCGATTGATGCTTCTCCCCCTCCCTTCTCCCTTTCTCTCCCTCCCTCCCTCCTTCTCTCTTTAATATCAAACATATCCTTGGGCGAGGAATTTTTTAAAAATCCTAGTGGGTGAAACATCTGATAAGGAACAGATTTACAGTATCTCAAATTATCTTCCTACAATTTACTTATTAATTACAAAGGGAAAAAAAATAGTCCTGGAGGATATATATCTCAGCTCTGTAATATTCCTGCCAAAATGCATAATCTGAATCTAATCACAAAAGAAAAAACCCCAGAAAAACTCAAATTGAGGGACATTTTATAAAATAACTAATGTGTATTTTTCAAAAATGTCAAGGCCAATTAAAGACAAAGTTTGAAGAATATTCCAGATTAAGGGAGACTAAAGAAACAGGAATGAGTAAAATGTGTAGTCCTGGCCTGAATCTTGGACTAGGAAAAAATACTGAAATAAAGTACAGTATTAGGACACCTGATGAAATCTGAATGTATACTATTATTAGATAATAGTGTTATACTAATTTAAAATTTGATTTTAGTATCTGTACTGTGGTTATGTAAGAAAATGCCCTGGTCATAGGAAATAATCACTGATAATGGGGCACGGTATTTCCATCTACCAAAAAAATTTGCGAAAAAAGATAAACAAAATAAAAACTCCATAAGCCTGGCAAGAGTCAGGGATATAATATTCTTGTCTATGCCACTTCCTCAGTAAGGTGATAGCTACCTATCTGTCAATTCCACAAAGCACTAGTATCTGTTCTTTTGGTTACTGTCCGTCCACTTATTGTTAATAGGGATAAGTATAAGCTAAAACATCAACCAGTGCTAATTTATAAAAATTAATGAGTCACCAATTGTGATCTAAATGTTAGAAATAACTAATTATCTTTCTCTCTCCACTAGCTAGTCATCTGAGAAAAATGTTCTCAGCTTACTGATACTTATTCCCAAGAAACACTATGAAGATAAGTCTAGGCATGAAAACACTTGGCACCAAAAGGATTATCACAATACTAAGATGAATTTAGTATGAAGTTAACATATCCATCCACATGTATTTTCTTAAAATGTACTTTCTGTGAAAAATTTAGTTAGCTGCTCAGTCATAATAATAGAATTCAGTTTTATCAGAAAGCATATGTTTCATTTGAATGGAATTTAAGAACTCATAAGCTCTAAGAATCACAAGAATATTTTCAGTTCGTATGATGTAGATACAAATTATTTTTACCAGAGTCCCTACTGTTCTCCTCAGACTCTTCCTCTTCATCATCATCAGAATACTTTTTCTTTGGGGTTTTTCTCCGCAAACGCCTGCTTTGCCTCATTGGCCGGGAGGGATGTCGTCTCAGTCTTCGGCTACAGAAATCAGTGTCGCTGTCATCATTAGAAGGTGGGTCTTCTTCACTTTCGTCTGGGTTTTCATCAGATACAACAAACTCATCTTGAGAGCTGCCCAAGGGAAACCAGATGAATTATGATGGTACACTTAAAACCAGAACCCATTTTTGAGAGTTCTGAGTTCAAGTTCTAACAAGTCCAGTGAATTATGAAACAATGTTCAATGTAGTATCTGAATAATTGTATCAAATTCCCTCACATGAAGAAATTATTTGCTACCTCTTCTTTTCTTAGGAGTTGTTATGAAAAGGAACTGATGCTGACTTTGTACATAAATTGCTTTGGCCTCTTGAGATGTCCCCCATGTACCTTAAATCCTCATGTCCAAAAGCACACTCATTATTTCCTAACTTAAATATCCTCCTCTGTTTCCTAGCCTGGTATTTGATACTATCTCCCATCCAGAAACTCAAACCAGAAACCCGGTATTTATTCTCATTTCCCCCCTTGCATTTCTCACATCTAATCATTTACTAATTCCTCAAGTCCACCCCTTAAAGTTAGTATCTAAAATCATCTCCTCCCTGAACAACTATTCTCACCTGAACAACTACAGGAATGCTCCAAGTAGTCTCTCTAATCTCTAGGTCATCTCCCTTCAGTATATCCTCCAAATAAAAACCAGGATGAAGCTTTCTGAAATGTAAACCTCTTGCTATTCTGGTGTTTAAAACCCTTCAATGGGTTTTCATCACCGTCAGGCTAGAATACAAATTCCTATGCATGACAAACAAAGGACTCCACCATCTGTGTCCTTTTTATGTCTTGGTCTCATCTCGTACAGGACACTATCTACTTCCCGTATTTTTGCTACATGGGCACACCAGGAGTTTCCTAAATATCCCATGGCGGTTTATGCCTTAGACCTATGTAACTTCTCAAGATCTTCTTCCCTCATCCTGCTTCTAATTCCAAACCCAAAGATTATTCATTCTTCAAATTTCATTAAGCTTTATTTCCACTCTGACCTCCCTGGATTAATCTCTCTTCTCTACCCTAACCATGCCTTACCTGTATTTTAGTAGGAACCATGCGAAGTGATTTTTTTGTGGCTTATATGTTTGTTTCTTCCACTGACAATCTGAGAGGACAACTCTGGGTTATTGTTTCCGTATCTACTCCATAGGGACAACTTTCCTGATACTCCATAGTGGATTACCGACCTCAACCCAAACCTCTAAGGGTCACCAGAGAATAGTATCTAATTCCTCGTACGTGGCTATTTCTCATATTTCACTGGCAACCTCTAATGGATATGGTGGCAGAAGGTGGCACAGGGGTACATAACAAATGACTGCTCAGTTGCAGTTAATACAATTTTGAATATTAAACCACCATAGACCCACTTTGTTTCAACTGGAAAATAACCGAGATCAGCATTCTTAAATCTGCTTTAAATATCCTGAAAGTAAGATGAGACTGTGCATGAAAAACAAAAGCCCGAGCACAGCATGGCCAGCTCCCCTGCTAGCACTGTAAGCCTGTACCGAGGGACTGAGGTCTACTGGCGGATCACGCACCCATCACTGATCTTGAATTCATCCTCACTCTCTTCTTCATCCAGGTTGCTGTCACTGTCCAGATCATTTAATCGCCGGCGTTTCTTCCGGCGAGCAGCAGCAGCCCTCTGGGGTCGTTTATTTTCTTTTCTTTCTTCATCTAAAATAGTAGAGATGTCTTTCCCACGGTGACCTGTGATGGTAGAGATATCTTTTCCTCGGCCAACTCCTGAATTCAGGGGTGAAGGGTTAAGGGGAAAAGAGGGAGTGAGAAGGAGACATAACTGTATGTTTACTAAAAGTTCTCCTTTAATATCTACAGACTGTTCTTATTTGTGCTTAGCAACTCTTCACTTGATTAACTTCCTTCCTACATATATGCAGGTTTCCCATCACTGCAGCTGACAGAGTTCTTATGGAGAGTTTTGGCATTCATTTGTCCTACTAAATAGAAGTTCACCTTGTACAGAACATCTTTTTTTTCACATTCTGTTATCATTCATACACTGTAACATTCACCCTTTTTTTTAAGAGTATAACTCAGGGGTTCTTAGTATAGTCACAAAATTCTGCAATGGTCACCACTAATTCCAAAACATTTTCATCACCCCAAAAAGAAACTTCATACCTATTAGCAGGCACTCAAGAAACCTCTTCTTTAAAGTTTTCTTTTAGACAAGGCATTAGAAAGAGGCCAATCCATTTAAAAAAACAAAACTGTTTGCAGGACTGAAAAGTGAGAATTCAGCAGCGAAGATATATAAGTAAGGCACATGCCTCTGGAAAATCTAGTGACTTCTTCAGTTCCACTACAAACAGCCTACTAACTATGAATGCTTTTCAGAGTTTTCATAAAACTAAATGGAAACTACAGTGCTCCACACTGGAATACTGGTAATCTGTATGTAGCTCTTAAATTACCCTCAAATTATTCTATATTAATGTCATGTAATAAGGAATATGAAAACTAATAAACTGATTTTTAAAAGGTTAATTTAAAAAATCATGTAGAGCCTAATTATCCATAGTTTTTGGTACCTTGTAGCAGTAGTGATCTAAAAAATAGAAAAATAGGCAAGTTTCACTGGGTTTTTCATTTGGAAGTAATAGTAAAATTTTACTACATGGAGGAATATTTACATTTTACATCAGACCATAAAACCAAACTCTTTTAAAATAATTAGTAAGATCCAAGTCTACACAATGACACTGTCCATGGATTATTTTGAACCTCAGACTGTTAACATCAGTAATGATCATGATAAAACACTGGGGAGGAAAAAAAGGGAGGAAAAAAAGCTCACTGCTCTAATCAGGGCATATTAGTTATTTTACTGGCCCAAGTTTTATGTCAAAGAAAATGAAAAACACATACCTCCTCCATCAGCCTCTTTGATATCATCTTCTATAGCTTCATCAATTGCTTCATCAAACTCATCGAATCTAAAATATAGACAACAATCACATTACAGCCTGTCCTGGCACGTGGGTCAGGGGTGTTGCCTCTGAAGAGGAAAGAGTCAGAATGTGAATCTGCTCTCTTCCACTTTGGGACTGTGTGACAGGCTACATCCCCTCGCTCATATTACCTTGCTCCATTTCTTTTGTAAAACTGGGTTTTGTGTATTGGCATCTAATCATAAATTGTTGTTTTTCATTTTCAAAGATCACTTATACCAGGCATCAGTATATACTTTTGTAAAAAGCCAGATAGTAAATTTTCTAGGTGCTGTAGACCATATATGTAGTCACTGTTGTAACTATTCAAGCCAGCCCCCACAGTCCAAAAGCAGCCAGACAATATAACCAAATGAATGTTACTGTGTTCCACGACAACTCCACTTATGGACACTGTGATTTGAATTTCATGTCATTTCCACAGAATTTTCTTCTTTTGGTTCTTTTTTCAACCTTTTATAAATGTAAAAACCACTCCCAGGTTATGGGCTGTACTAAAATTGGCAGTGAGTGGAATTTGGCCCACAGCCCATAGCTTGCCAATCCCTAATTTACAAATCACATGGCAAAGTAAAATGAACAAAACTGGTGTCCCAGAAATAATACAAAGAGCGAAGGTTATTGTTACTGGAGGTTATATTACTATTACTAAAATTCATGTACAGATGATCAGAATTTTAGAGCTCAGTAAATATACTTTACCTCAAAGAGCTGTTTCCCTTAACTTAAAGAAAAGGATCAAGACTAGATGATTGCTAGGATTTCATCATATATGAAATTCCTTTCACTTTAAAACTGAGGAAGCCACAAAAATAAAGTGACTTGCAAACTACGGTAAATACAGTAATTACTAACTACATATGGCTCTTTAATTTATTAAAACGAAGAGTTCAGTTCCTCACTATGTTATCTCAAGTGCTGAACAGCCACATATGGCCACTGGCTACCGTACTGGATAGCAAAGAAATACGTTTTCAAAACCACAGTACATTCTACTGGACAGAACTGGATTCAAGTCATACAGTGGCTTAACAACAGAGTTAAGACTGATAGCCAAATGTTTTGCATTTTGAATTTAGAAACAGTACACCTATGGATTTCCTATCTAGGAACGAACACACACACACACACACAGAAGAGAGAGAGAGAGAGAGAGAGAGAGAGAGATACACACACACCCTCCCCCAACACAAACATAAAATTTTACATATAATTTCAGAGGATTCGCAAATTTCAGGTTAGGAACTCTTCTACAGTGTCATTTTTTTGGGGGGTGGGGGGCTATGTAGTGTCTTATAGTATATCATAATTTTTTAAGTCATTTACTTCCAATTTTTTCACAATTATTGGTAATGCTATAAAAATGATCCTTGGGCTGTACATTAGCTTTTCCCTTAAGATAAATTCTGAGAAAATAAAAATCTGTGCATTCATTCACCAGGCTAGAGAAACAGTTAACAGGTAAAACCAGATGGACAATTAATAAAAAACAGTATTTCTCCCAAGGACATGCTACAGCAGTCATGTGGCAAAAAACCTATTTCTTTGTGTGACTACTACTTTCTTACTCACTGAGAAACTTTGTTTTCTAAAATCAGAGACCGTCAGAACCTTCAGGTATATGAGATAATATTAAGAATGACACATCTCATTCCTGCCTGGAAGATACACATAGTTTTAACACACAGATGCAGAGTTTTGGATAAAGGACTGGATACAACATCCCACACATCTACTTTATTTCATTGTTTGCGAGGACACAGGATCCTGTGTGCACTATGCAGTATAGCTGTGATACTGACCGCTTTACAGAGCCCTGCTTAGCTTTGAATCTTACTCTTCATTTGCTTCATTTAAATTTCATCTATACTCTAAAGATTTCATCAGTATGTCCTGGCTAGGTAGCTCCACTGGTTAGTGCATTGTGTTGATAGGCCAAGGTTGCGGGTTTGATCTCCGGTCAGGGCACATGTAAGAATCAACCAGTGGATGCATAAATAAGTGGAACAACAAATCAATGTCACCCTCCTCCCTTCCTGCCTTAAAAAAAAAAATCAATAAAAAATACAAATAAATTTCATCAGTATGTTATTATAACTCTTCTTCTTTGTTGAGAGGCCCCATGAGATTCTGTTGAACTATACAGGTTTGTCCCTGATAGTCTTGCTACAAATACAACTGCTGGCTTAAAGGGCACACAAACTGTTCTTCAAAGGTTGTAGCAATTCATAATACAACCATGAAGTAAATCTTATCATTAAATTTTTTTCCTAATTTGGAAAACAAAATTATTTTCTTGTTCTTTTAATTCTAATTTGAATACTGAGTAAGGCCAGATATTATTTTTCATGTTTACTGGTCATTTTTACTTTCAGGTTTGTGTCCTTGGCCCATTTTATCAGCCAGTGTGTGTTCATCTTTCTTACTGATTTGTAAGAGCTTTTGTTTGTATCAAAGACTTTAACCTCTTTGCTGTATGTTGCAATTATTTCTATCCAGAGTGTATTTGTATACTCAGAGTATAAACACACACAGCAAACAGAAACAGTCATCCTGTCTAGTTCTAGCCTCCAAAATAAATGAAACCATAATTTTCCCCGATAACGGATTCCCTAATAAAATGGCTTTATCCTTGCTTCAGCAACGTTGATGTCTTAAAGATATGCAACAACCTTAACAGACACCATCTAAAAAAACTACTCTATTCCCACTGTGGAAAAAACTACACTCACAACTCATTGCTTGTGAATTCTATTAACTCCTTTACAAAATTTCTACGCAAACATTTTCTTTTATAAATGCTTCTGTCTGAGTCTTTCTTAATTTTTATGTGATAAAATGTCCTTTCCATTATTGTTTTTGTGTTTGGTGTTATGCTTACAAAATTGCTCCTTATTACACTAAGATTATATGCCTTCCTTAAATCCTTTTGGGAACTAGGTAGGGTTATAAATAAATGAATCACACAATACATCTTATGCTAAAAAACATAGTTTTTCAACTATCCCTATATTACAGCTTAATTTAACAGCTGAAGGGATCATCTGAGTTCATCTACTGTCACAATCACAAGTATGGAAACCAAGACTCAAGGAAATGGACCACTCAAAGATACTTGGCTTATAAGTGACACAGTAAGGACTATAATTCTTAATCTTCAGACTTCCAATTCAATGCTCTTTCAAGTCAACTTTGATGTCATCTTTTTGGTTATGAGCAAAAAGAATCCAATAAATAGTTATTAAATGACAGTAGTGATGAAATTCTTTTTGGGGGGCTGTGCTTACTTAAGTGCTTTACATTTTATAGTCACAACAGTCCCACTGTACCCCATGGAAAAAATAAATTGTAGGTGTATTTAGAATTTAAATATCAAGAGTGAAACTTAAAACAACTAGGGAAAGCATACCAAATTTCTTTAAAAAGTCACTAAGAAGCAGAAATATTAAGTAAAAAGTGACAAGAGACATTCAAATGCCCAATGAGCACATGAAAAGATGCTTAGCATAACCATCAGTGTAATACAAATAAAAGCCACAACACATCTCCTCACACCTGGTGGGATGGTCACTACAAAAAAAAAAAAAAAACAAAAGCCAGCAAGTGTTACAAGGATGTGGAGAATTTGGAAACCTTGTACACTGCTGGTGGGAATGCAGGCTGGTGCAGCTGCTATGGAAAACAGCATGGAAATTCCTCAAAAAAACAAAGAACTACCATTTGATCCTGCAATTCCACTTCTGGGTACATATCCAAGAGGAAATGATAATAAAACAAATCTGTTTCTTTTAACAACCATAACTACATCAGGATTGACAGGCAATACAGTTCTAATACAATGCTTGTTCTGAAAATGTAAATTTGTTTCAATGTGACTGACAGTATTACAAAATAATTCAAACATAACGTGTAATTCATTCTTGCTTGTAAGTAATTTCATTTTTGAGAAACACTAGTTTAACACAGAAATCAGTACCTAACTGCCTAGGAACTCACCAAACACACACCCTAAACATCTTCCAGTCACCTCAGCTCATTATGAGTGTCAGAAGCTACAGCCACCTGCATCTGGTGTTCTGGCCGATTCCAAGTAATGGCTGTCTACCGCCATATGTAATTTACAAGCTGCAACTCTCCTCACTTCCGCAGACAAACTCTTAGGCTTTTCTCCCCAACATAAAATGTCACATACATTGTAGTATTTATATTATTTCTTAACCATTTAATATGTGTCAAATGATACTATGATTTTTTATTAGATTCTTATCATTTTCTTTTTAAATGTGTCACTAATGAAGTTTTTGAATGTGTGGTCATATTTACCATAATCCCTATGGTTTTTATTGTGTGATTTTGCACAGCATGGTGTTTTTTTAGAAATGTATATGTTAGTATAGCAGAACTGACTTTACATTTACATGTTTTATCAGTAGGCTTTGATTTAATCATTTATAATAATCTCATGATACTTTTAATTTTTCAAAGTTTTTTTTAAAAAAAGAATACGATGGACCCTGCTCCAATATATATTAAGGATTTCTCTTTTACTGGTCATATTGCATTTTATAAAGTTTTAATAATAACAACAGTAGCAAACTATATACAGAGAGTTTTTCCATGACCATTGATGGACATTTATAAATAAGCCAGTTCAAAGTTCAATAAAATCAGCTTTGTTATTCACCTCCAGCTATTCAAGTTAAAAGACTGTTTTGGTGTTGCCTCCATAGACCACAGGTCCAAAAAAGGGGCCTTTTTACTTTTTAAAGATTTTATTTATATTTTTAGAGAGAGGGAAGAGACAGAGAGAGAGAGAGAGAGAGAAAAGAAACACTGATGTGTGAGAGAAACAGATGGTCTGCCTCCCACACGTCCCCTAACCAGGAACCTGGCCCGCAACCCAGGTATGTGTCCTGACCGGGAATTGAACCAGCGACCTTTTGGTTTGCATGCTGGCACTCACTCCTTTCGGCCAGCCAGGGCCAATAAAAGGTCTTAAATAAGGGAAGTTTAGTGGAAAAATACTAGACTAATAAACAATCAGAAGATAAGGTTTTGGCCTCCGTTAGCTACTAAAGGTGTGACCACAGAAAAATCCTTCTCTCTGTCCCTCTGTTTCTCCACCTCCCTCCTTTTCTGGTGGAAGACTGTAAACCTGATTACAGTTTTTAATTCTTTTACTGATCCTTTCAATAGGCATTTAAGGAACACTTACTATTTGCCAACATTATGCTCACTGTAAAAGATAGAAGGATATATAAAACAGATATGGTCCTCACCTTTATGCTAAAAGTCTAGCAGAGGAAGTTTTAATCAAATAATTAAAATCACAATCATTACAATTTTGATAAGTGCTTTCGAGGAGAACTGGTTGCTGAGAGCACATAACAGAGGGAGTTGATCAAGACGACGTTAACACAGTTAAAAATGGAAGAGACATTCTAGGCAGAGTGAACAGTATGTACAAAGGGACTGAAGACAATGTTGCTGATGTTGAGAGTAAGGGAAAATGTGGAAAAGCTAAGCACAGAGCAGACTATTGCGTTACTTCATGCCCCTTGTTAAAGGCATTGATCCTTATCCCAAGAGCTACAAAATCTGACAAGGTATGTTATGCAGAAAGGAATGACATGAACAAATTTATATTTAGAAAAGATTATTCATGATGGTTGCTCTCAAATTCTGATTCTAAAGATAGGAGGTAAGAAATATATATACAACCACTAATGATCACTGTGATGGAAAAGCATATACTTCTGGATCATGTATAATCTTAAGAACATTTTACACTCTTTCATTATAACTATTTCTACATACTTCATACCTATAACTTATACATTTCCGTGTTCTTGTTGATCTTCTTTCAAGCAAGTTGGCTTTGGATTTCTTTGAATCTTTTTTCTTTTCTTCATGATCTTCAGAAAAATCTGGCTCCTGGTTTTAAAATATGGTAATAAATATGTGTTATTACTCAGGACAGAAAAAGTTCCTTGGAATTAATAGCTTCTATTGTCCCTCTAAGCAGCACATGTGAAAGGTATGAAAAAGATGATCGCCCCAAACTGAATAAACATGGCAACACTATGTACAGATTAAAGAATACTGATGATCCAAACAAACACTTCTGTATTAAAATTATTATTATGTTTTTGTGAGTTTATAATGATCTCTTTTAAACACAATCATGATGAAGTTATTCCATCAATAAATCTTTTAACAATTAAATTTAGCACATTAGATATTCTATAGGTAAGCTGAAGAAATGAAATAAAAGATTTAGAAGAAAAGGGCATGATGCTGAAGAAAAATAATTAACCAAGACAAGCATGTGATTTAATTAAACCTGAATGAAACTGTGTATGGAACTAAGAAAATTTCTTCATTTCAAATAAAAACCATATTACATATACTTTCACTCATGAGATATACTTCTTAATTATATATTAGTCTGGTAACTGAAAAACAATGAAATCCCTTCAGAAAAACCAAACTGTGAGAATACCAATTAAGGGTTCTGATAACCACAAAACAATAGAATTAAAAACGAGATCTCCTTGAACCATTTATTTAGACACCTAGCATAAACAGTAGACAAAGAAGCTAAAAAAATTTATCCAATTTAGGGTTAAACAAACCCAAAACCACCAAACTCCATAGGGGTGAGCTATAAATTTGGTTTGGATGTAATATTACATTTTGAAGCTATCTGCACGTACATAATTTTAATCATGAGGGATTATGGGTCATTTAAAGTCTTAAACTTTCATTTTTAATAAAATAGGTATACTATTTATTTAAAACTACTCACATTATTTAAAGTGGAATAAATTTTAGAACAATTATGGCAATCTCATCTTTTTACTGTAAACTAGAAACTTACTTGTGGAGGAATGATGTTTTCAATACTGATACCCACATACACCAAGCGTTCTTTCCTTTAAAAAGTGAAAAACAAGCACATAAACAAAGTGAGATTTGCTAAAAATTAAACTTATGAAAACATTACAGCACAGGGAATACTAAAATTATGATTTCATGGTAATAGTACAGACTATGTTATCTATAAAACTTAAAATACTGGTATCTGTGGGAGGCACAAAACTTCCTAAAGGTATGAAAATTGTAGCTTTAGAAGTGACTTTTATACAGAGGGAACAGGGTGGGAGGTTCAGTAGAAAAGGAGAAAGGGATTAAGAAGTACAAACGTGCAGTTATAAAACAAGTCAGGAGATGTACAGCATTGCGAACAGAGTCAGTAACAACATAATAATTATGCATGGTGACTGAGGGTTTTTACTTATTTTCGACACTGTAGTGTTCACTTTGTAAGGTATATAAATGTTGAATCACTATCTTGTACACCTGAAACTAATATACTATTGTATGTCAACCATAATTAAAAGCAATTTTTTTTAAAAAGTGACTTATACTGGTGAAATAAAACCTGTAACTGAAAAAGACAAGGGAACTTCATGAAGAGTCATGTGGCAACTCATTGACAAAGTGATTACACGAAAAGCCAACTCTGATCGAATAAACTAGATCTTTGTTATGCTGGAAGTTTTTAGTAATATTGTATGGATGTATAAACAGCTATAATCTCATGATAATAGATATCACTATAAGAAATAATTCTATATAACAGAACCACATCAAGGTCCCAGTGAATGATATCAAGACCATTCACTTCGTGTTCAGAGAGAAGGCAAAAAACAATGCAGCGGCATAGATCTGTAATCTAGGATGCTATTTTAACTGGCTGAAAGATAGCTTCATGTGGATTTAGAAGACTAATGACATCCTCACAGTTTCGTTTCAAAGAAACAAAAGTTTTGTTGATTTTAATTCAACAAATTTTAAATAACGAATGTATATACAACTGGTGCTTTCTCCGTTTCTCCCCAAGTTAATTTGATTCACCAAGGACAGCTGAGGTCTTACCTACATGCCAGTGTGTGAACTGAATAGACATACAAAAGGCAAAAACAGTACTAGCTGAAATTTGAGCTCTCTCTGTCATTAAATGTTTGACACATCCTTACACTAACAAAGTTTATTTGTGATACCAGTTTCCTTCTTTATACCTCAAAATCTCTACTTTCATGTGACCATTATTTCTCTCCTTAACTAAACTGAAAGAAAGTCATATTCATATTAGGTCATGATTTTGTCAGGCTTGGAAATCTAAAGGTAAATAAAACATGGTTTGTTCTTGCCCCCAACATTATTAACAACCAACTGTTGTCCATTAAGAACAAGTGCAATGGAAACATGAAGAAGAGATTTTGAAAAAGAGCTAAGAAATTTGGGAAGGCTTTATAAACTTGAGTAGGATCTTGGAGGTAGGTACGGTTTCTCATTATAGCATTTTATTGCTTAGTAATTTTACGGAAAGATTCATCTTCCACCATTCAGTATCAATGCCTGCTCAATGGTCACATTGGGCCCAGACTTTATCATCACCTATAATCGCATCCTGCTAAAATTTCCATTTCAGGGATCCTCTTCTCTGACTTCTACTGGCTCACTTTCCAGCTCACTCCCTCTGGTACACTGATTTCAACAATCCCCTAATTCCAGGAGGACCTCTATCCATTGAGCCTACCCTCTTTGCACTGTCCATCACTCCCTTCATGTCCTTACTTTCCCCCTTACCTGGCTTAGACTCCATGGTCCATCATTATAAATACTCCTTTGTATACACTTTCAATTCCTTGTCTCTTTCTCTCCTTCCCTCTGTTATATTACCTGGAAAATTCCAACCCTGATTAAATCCAACTCTCTACTAGCAAAGAACTAGTAATAGTACTCTGGAAGTATAGAACTATTTGAATTCCCAAATAATTTCTGGCCCCCAATTCTGAAAGGGACATTTACAAATCAGTTCAACGGACTTCTGAAACATCCAATTTCACAGAGCGTCACAGCTCCATCTCTGTAGACAGTTGCTGGCTAGTCACTAATTACTCATTGACACAGCCTTCTTTTCCACCATACTGCATAGAGCCCTTTAAGGTAGAGACCACATAATACACTTCGTTTTTATTACACTGCCTGGTACAAAGGAGGTGCTCAGTAAGTGTTGGTTAAATGTTGAATAAATGCATGAACATGGGAAAGATGCTCTTGTTCTATGATATAGAGAGTAAACAAGGCTCTCAGTTGCTAGGCTAGTGCTACAGAAATAGTTTTAGAAAAGATAGTTTAAAAAGGATAAATAAAAATGTTCACTTTCAAAAACAGATGAAGCCACCTGGAATTTATAGTTAACATATTATTTATTTTAGAATCATATATTTTGCTATATAGAGCTCCTAAGACCCGTATATTCACATGCATCACAGGAGCTATAAATAATGGGGAGAATTAACAAACACCAACAATTTAGTTAACTGGCCTTGTGTCAGACTGGTCTCCCTATATAACAATAACTTTGCTCTCCTTTCTATGATCCAATTTCATAGGATTTAATGTGTGATCAAAAGCCACAATTACAGATGTCCTCTTAAAGACTGACATTTAGGTAAAGATGAATGCCAAGAGTAAAAGAGAAAGCAAATGAACTAGTAAATAGGAGACCAATAGTTTAAACAAATGCTATGGCACATTTAACATAATTTCTAAAATTAAAAATATTTCTTAATTGCAGCAGCATGGCCATATGTAAAAGGTATAGCATCACAGGCCTCCAAAGAACAAGCAGATATAATTGGAGTAGTAAACAAATTCTTAGTGGTTGCTATTCTTGCTTTCTTTTTTCTATTGTTTATTTTTTTCACTTTTAACTTAGTGGCTTATCCAGGTTCCACATTCTTGCTTGACCCACTTCTGTCCCTCTTTACTTCTCAAAGGCACTGCAGAAAGCAGACAGGATAAGGAGAAACACAAAATATAAATTCAGACATGCCAAGTCTTAGACTGACTTTGGCAGAGTCGCAAGACCACACTGAACTGGCTGGGCACTTCTCTAAACTACTTTAAGCAGCATAAATAGTTCCATCGCCCTGTCAGTCACCTTTCCACTCCAGCATAATTACGAGGTTTTTTCATATGAGTGTCAGTTTTTAAAACAATTTATGCAACTGTGTACAATTCAACTCTGAGTTTAAATGAAAATTTTAATAAATGCAAGTAACTGATGTTAATTTACATAGTCCCCAATTATTAACTTTGATTCAAGATAAACAGCCTGAGGTTCTTTGATGCATCTTTTTTTTAAAAAATTACATTTATTGGGATGACATTAGTTAATAAGATCAAATAGGTTTCAAGTGTACATTTATAATATATGATCTGTATATTGCATTGTGCGACATTCTTGCCTTTTGGAGAGAATACATTTTCTCACAAGCTCTTAAAGAGTAGGAGTATTAGCTATCAGCATTGCTGAGTCAAATCACTTCAGAACATGAGAGCATTACTCATTTCTCAGGACAGGCAGATTTCTGAAAGACTAAGGCACAGGGAAAATCTGATTTTCAATTATGATTAATTTGAAGCATCTATAGGTAGATCTTTTCCAGTGTCAAAAATAAAAAGCAGGAGCAATTATGCACATCACAACAGGCTTAATAATTTTATACAGAACTATTACACAGTTTCTAAATACAAAGGTAATTAGACAATGGATTTTTTTAAAAATCCATTTATCATCTCCTAGTCAACTTTAGAGATTAATTTTGCCTTTAAACTAAGTCCCATCCATTATAAAAGGCACAGAGTTCAAACTGAGTAGTAAAGGAAACAAACAGGATTTGGAGGCCAAACCCACTTTTAAAGTTCACTTTTGCTTAACAATAAAATGGTGAGATTATGGAATGACCCAACAAAGCTAAACTTGAGGGAAAACTATGTGAAAGCTGGTAAAAGTTAAAGTAAATGAAGATAATAAGGCCAATCAGGAAACACTGCATAGATTATCTCATACTTTGTACAAATGGGCATCAAGTCCTGATTAATACTCTAAAACTTCTCTTCAACATCTCCACTTTATTCCCACAACTGCCCGATTTCAGACCTCGTTGGCTCTCGTAGACTCTACTCCAACAGCCTCAACTCTAATTCCTTCTTCTTATTGTTACCAGATTATTTTTCCTGAACTAAAAGTCTGATCATACATATTCCTCCTCTGATGGCTTCCCCATTGACTATACAAAATAATCCGAATTCCATAACAAGGTTATGTAAAGCTGTTCACAATTTGGCCTCAACCTGCTTTTAGAGGTTCATCCTGCCACTCTTATACTCTCACTTTTACACTGTCTTTGCTCACATTTGTGCTCTTTGCCTAAAATTTCCTTTCTCTCCATGGCCACCTATACAACCCCAAGTTATCTCCCAAGGACATCCCTGATAAACCCAATCCCTAAAACTCAAATTCCCTTCACCATGTTCTTATATTGCTCTGAACAGACCTCAACTTGTCTCCTTAACTATATCACTGGCTCATACATCTGTATTCTGACAGAGGGTGAGCTCCAAGTAAGCAGGAGCTTTGTCTTACTCATCTTTTCTCTTCAGTTTGGTATACAGCAGGTATAAATGTAGGTTTCACACTAGATTAATCAAAGGTGTACAAATTAATATAAATATAAACATGCTGTCTTGATTCTGAGCCCCCTTTTAAAGATTAGGCTCAACTCCAATTTTATCTACTCCCAGAAGCTTTCTCAACTGCTTCAGACCACACTGCAGTGACATACTGAAGAGGGAGGCATTTTTTTTAGTCAGTGGGACACAGTTCAGCATTTAAATGCACTATATTATTTGTGTGATTTCTGCCCACCCAAAGATATGACACAGGTAACTAAATTGTACACCAGTCTTTGCAGTTTTCTTGTACTCGCTACATACTTAGGTACATATCCTCCACAATACTTGAACCGATACTTTTTCAGAGAAGATTCTGATAAATACTTTAGATCAGGGGTTGGCAAACTTTTCCTGTAAAAGGACAGATAATAAATTAGGCTCGGTGGGTCATAAGGTCCCTGTTGCAACTACTAAACTCTGCTGCTGTTGTACAAAAGAAGCCACAGACATTGCATGACAAAGAGAATGGTAGTGTTCCAATAAAATTTTAAGGACAATGAAACCTGAATATATCATTTTTATGGGTCATGAAATATGACTGTTGTTTTCATCTTTTTCCAATCACTTAAAAACAATAAAAACATCCTTAGGTAGCGAGCAATACAAAATCAAGAAGCTGGCCAGATTCAGCCCACAGGTCACAGTTTGCCAATCCCCGCTTTAGACAGACACATCAATCTATTTGTAAGACAATTCTGCCATCCAATTCCCAAGTAAAATATTAGCACATAGAGCACAATACCTGCGTTCAGCACGCTCCTTCTTCTTTAAGGCAACATCTAAATCTTGTAATTGTTCTTCTAATTTCTCACACAGTAGTTTCTGAAACAGCCAAAAAGACGAACAGCATTTTAACACCTTTCCACAATCATCATTTGCATGTTAGCACATGGATACTAGGTATGAGCTGATAACGGACCACATAGTGAGTTAACACTGAAATGTTCCTTGCATTTAATTTAAATAATGTGGTGCCTCCACTTCCACTGAATTGAAGATGAGCATAGTGTCTTTAAAGTAAAGCACATATTAGAGAAACTTAGAACGCTGCCAAAAGACATATCCCATGCTTATCTTGTTGGCAGAAATCAATGTTTAAAATAGCATTTGGTTCAACATGTACACATGACAGTGATTACTATTTTTAAAAATCTCAAGACATTTTTAAGGGAGATGGTTATATGTATGATAGAATATAATGGTGCAAACCACTAGTTACAAAAAAGAGAAGAAAAAAATTTACAAAATCATGCCACATGGTTATTGAGCTAAAATAGAGCTGAAGAATGTAACCAATAATGCTATGCTAAGCCACAGAAGTTCACTTCACTAAGAAATGCAATAAAGCCCATCATTTTTAAACCAAAATTTTTTTACAAAAACTTTTTAGGTCTTCTGAGAATCACTTTGGAATAAAGTTAAGGGAAGATGCTGTGATAATAATAAAGGGTAACCTTTCAATGATCTCTAATTTCACAGACATTTAAGCAAACAGTAGACCATATTTACAAACTGTTTTAAAGATTTAAAATGGTTAGTAGCTACCAAGAAGTATTACTAATTTGAATATAAAACCAAATACTGGAATAGCAGAGGTGTACTGGGCTCCTACATGTTGGCAAGGAGGGCAGAACCATTCTCCGTCAGGGATGATCATCAGAGGAGGGCGAAGGCAGGCAGTGTGGTACCCACTGTCACAAGAGTCACACAGAAGAATCTGAAAGAAACCAGACAGTAATATCAACCCAACTCTATGACTAAAATTCAATGACTCAAGTTAAAATACAGACATTTCAGTATTTCTTAGTATAGCACTAAGAAATGTACTGTAAGTACTTATAAGTACTGTAGGTTTTATTTGCATGAAGCATAATTTTTTAAAAAGTTATGATAATTAGGGATCTAACATGCTGTTTAAAAAAGATGTAAAATGAAAAACTAAGAAAATACTAAACTACAAAATTAAGTAAAAAGTAGCAAGTCCTTTCCGAACTAGTTACAATCCTTTTCTAGTGTGCGATGAGGGCTTAAACAATAATTTTTTTTATAACAGAGTTTTATAGCTCAAGTTACACAAACTACCCTACCACACATAGGATTTTTAAAATACAAGTAATTTCCACTTTTATCGGCATTTCAATTACCAATCTGTATGATAACTCATGTAAATTCAAATATGGAAGGAACTGAGGTAAGAGGGGAAGGGAATTGTACTTAGGACCATCATGTTCAAAATACGAAGTCTTTAGTTGCTTTTTCTTGTTATTTAAAATGACAACATCTCTCAAACTTAAAATGGTATATTCAGGAATGTGTGACTTTAAAAAACATTTTATTTTTAATATTTTTAGATTTACACAACAGTTGTAAAAATAGTAGAGTTCCCATAAACTCTTTACTCAGCTTTCACTAATGTTAACATCTTACATAACACCATGGTATATTCACCAAAAATAAGAAATTAACATCTGTACAATATTATTAACTCAGCAACAGACTTTATTCTGATTTCACCAGCTTTCCCACTAATATCTTTTTTTCTGATTCCAGGACCCAATCCATGTATTTAATCATGTCTCCTTATGCTCCTCTAACCTGTAACATTTTCTTGGACTTTGTTTTCTATGACTGACTGTTTTGAAGAGTAGTAGTCAGATATTCTGTAGACTGCCCTCAAGTTGGGTTCATTTAATGCCTTCTCTTGATTAGAATAAGGCTATGGTTTTGGAGAAGACTCCCACAAAAGTGAAATGCCCTACTCACTATGCCGTATGTAGGGGTACATGCTATCAATATGACTTATTACTGGTAAAATTAACCTTGATAACTTCGTTGCAGTAGTGTCTGTTGGTTTTTACCACTTTAAAGTTACTAATTTTCATGTTCTATACTCTATTTTCATTAGAAGTGTTAAGTCCAGCCCACACTCAAGGGGAGGGAAATTAAGCTCCACTCTCTGGAGGGAGAAGAATCAAAGAATTTGTAGATACGATGTAAAACTCCCATAGTAATTAATATTTAGGGAAAATACATTGAAGCTGTACAAACATCCTATCTTTCCTTCAAGTCTCACCCACTAGTTTTAGCATTTAACAGGGCACCTGGCTTGCAATAATTATTACTATGGTTTTCTAATGGAGATTTTCTATTTCCCTCATGCTTTCTACATTTGTTATTTGGAATTCTTCTGTAAAAAAAAACATGTCCCTTACCCCACATTTATTTGTTTATTCAATTATTTATTTATATCAGGATAAATAAATAATATTTATTTTATTGTTTGGGTTATAATATAAGACTATTACTTGTCAAATTCAAACTGTTGTAGCTATGGACATGCTTGGGAGCCCTTCCAGGTTGGCTGTGTCCACAGGATTCATCTGCATCCTTTTTTTTTTTTTTTTTAAAGTACTTCCTTACTTTTTAGTGCTATGGGATACTCCAAGCATGTCTTTTATTCTTTCTGCCAAAACCTAAGAGTCAGCCATTTCTCCCAGAGGCCCTGGTTCCTTCAATAGAGAATTGTAGTCAGAAACCAAGATTTGGATGCTAAATGCTCACTTTCTAAACTAAGGTCAGAGCTAGGAAATACATGCAAGTATAGCAATCCATTTGCACATATGTCTGTATTAAATAAAGTATGAGTTCATACTCATATCTCCAGCTCTCATGAGGTACCACAAGGTTCATTCTAGCCTTCAGCCTTGTTTATTTGTAACTTCTTTCTCTAACAGTAAGAATGCTGGCTCATATTATCTACACTTCATTCACTTGTTTAAACCTAGTATATATAAAGTAATTTCTAAATTGCTAACACGTATCATGATGGATGAAGGGAGGAGGGTGAAATGTGCACATATATGTGCAATGATTTAGAAGTGAAAAAGTACTCTCCTTCTTCTTATACAATGTATCACACCACTTGCTGCCAATGCCAAGAATTCACTTCTTCAGTTATAGGACTGATTTGACTGCTTGATTACACAGGCATATGTAGACAAACCTGGGCACCAGATTCCATTTATCACATTGTTTCTATGGTAAAGCATAATCTAAATTTCAGATAACAAAACTAAAAGTAAACGTTTAGAAATCAATATATCTCTAAAATAATAATTATCTCTATTCCTCAATAAAAGTAAAATCCCATTAAAATAAATATTACTGTGTACAGTTTCCAAGCCTAGGCCAATGATCCATTTATTTTGACTGAAGCATCTGGAAAATTGAGATTTTCCAGTTCTATGCTCATCTTGGATTTATTGCTTTTCTGCTATAAGCTCAATGAGGACAAGGACCATGTCTTTCTAATTCAGAATCATTCCCCTACCACTTACCACACAATAGTTGCTTGACATTTTGATTTGAGGATTATTCTTAAACACATGGCAAAAAAAAAAAATCTACCATTTAGGATCCTCAGGTTCCAATAATATTTCTCATAGGCATAGTAACCAGCAATGGAATTTTTAAAGCAGTTATTAAGATAATTAAGTAAAAATTCTGCATGTGTGCCAAGAAAGGTGCAACTTTATCTCCTCAATGTCATTTCTGCCCACTTCGTTTTACTTTTCATTTCCTCACACTCCTTTGTCATTGACATCTATTGATGCCTCAGTTAAAATGCACTCTCTTAGTTTAAAAAAATGCCAGAAAACGTCAGGGAAAGAGTACAAGTGTTAATTTTTACTTTATTTAGAGGGTAGGAAAGACCACTGTCTCATATCCTTTTTTTTGGCCTTTCTCCATACAGAAATCTTGACCTAACTTTCAGAGTCTGATGATCATAAAAATGCTTAGACGGGTCTTCTCAGCATAATTTCAGCATCTACACTTCTCAATGTTAAGTCATTACACCTAGTTTTAAGTTGTATCTTTTGAACCCTCTGAAACTAGTGGATATGATAAAATCCACTGACTTAGTTCCCAGATATGAGTTTTAACATTAAAAAAAAAACAAACACCTAAATCACAAAAAACTCTTACCCAGCACATAATAGATGTGCTAGGCAACTTTACATAACATTAAAAGCAACCCCAAGAAGAACTATGCGGTATTATTCCCATTTCACAACGAAGATATCAAGATACAGAGAAGAGAGCACCTGATAAGTGGTGGAAGCAGGATCTGCTGCCAAGTCTGTCTGGTCCATGCTTTTCCCATCACACCATACTGCTTTCTAGGAAAAAAGAGCCTTGGAGAACCACTTTATATGAATTTTCCAAACTTTAAAGGATCTGAAACTTTTCTGATCCACCAATTCTACCTATGTAGAAGCATCTTTCTTTACATTTCTTTCTATTTAATAGTTGGAGCCTGCCTTTAAAGTCAAATGTTTTTAAAAGGACCGAACAGTTACATAAAATTGGGCTTAACAGGAGTGTTTCTTCAATAGGCTCTTTAGAAAGCAATTATGAACTCCAGAAATACACACACACACCCCCACCCATATATATCTATACCTATATCTGTATCTGTATCTATATCTATATCTATATCTATATCTATATCTATACCTATGCCAATACCTATACCTATATGTTAGGAACTGGTTTTCCCGATTTACCTTACGTCTGAAGAATGTACTTCCTGGGTAAGAATGTTCTATGTCAATCTGTCACTATTCTTCTGAATATATCTGGTCTATAAGTTATCCTCTTACATTTTTTTTTAGAACTGTCTATTTCTTAAAGCTTAGAGCCCTACTAGGTTAACTACTTGACACATGTTTTTATAGAAAGGCAGTAAGGCCTTTGGGCCTCACTTACTTAAAGTTGGCACTTCAGAAATATCATTATAAAGTAACTTAAAGAGAAAGAAGAAAAATTTAAAGAAAAAGAATAGAATAGGAATATTTGAATAATTTCATATATTTGTGAGAAGACATTAGAAGTGTATCCTCATGAAAAGAAGTATCAATACCTAGCCAGGTAGAATGAAAGCAGGATCCGACCTCCCCAGAACTGGGTTATTTGAAAAATAGAAATAATGGTTATTTTGCACACACAAGCTCTGCACCATTAAAAATTTCTAATCATGAGCAAACCCAGGAGAGTCAGGCTTCTTTGGAAAACCACAACATGCCAGTAATATGAATATTACATACTAGCTCAGGATGGTTTGGAAGGCCACATTTTTTGCATGGTTCATCATCATCTGCTAAGACGGCTTCTTCACTCTCCTTTTCTTCCTCCTCTTCTGAAGCGGCAGATGATTTTTCACTGTCAGACCCTTCACTTTCATCGTTGCTGGAATATTTCCACCTGCCTCGTGTTCGAGAACCAGTCCATCGAACTTTGCCTTTGGTTTTAACCTTGTATAAAATTTTTAAAAAAAGGAGAATAATTTGACATAAGACTGTAAAGAGAAAACGAAAATTACTGTAGCTTCTTTGACAAATGTACCAACTGTTTAATTTTGGTACATATTTTTATTATATTTTTCTATTTTGGGGGTGTTATAGTAAACATTGTCTTACATTTTCCCTAGTCATAAAATATTATCACTGTAAATGACTGTATAATATGCCATCACATAGTTGTATTTATCTAACCCTCTACGAAACAGACATTTAGGTAGTTTCCCATTTTTTCACTTTCTTAAACAATTGTGTTCTTGTGAATATAAACTTTTACACACACACCTCTGTGCTTAGGATAAATTCCTTGAAGAGAATTCTGGGTCAAAGGCCATGCACACTTTAAAGGCTCTATAATAGAGCACTATGTTCTTACATTTTGTTATACAAAATTTTAAATTCCCATATTAGAGGTGAATTTAAAATTTTTTAATGGGTCAGAAATGTACATAAAAATCCTGACAAACTTAAACAATACATTATTCAGAAAGTTTATAATGATGTAAACTGCTTTTTATTGCCTGGTTGCACAATTTTTCAATTAATATTTTAATTAATTCCTACAGTATAAGTCCTCGTCAAAGACCAAAATAATTCTAACAGAAGGGGAAATTTTTTTAAAGTAAAGAATTAAAAATTCAGTATTCCAGGGAATAAAGAATCATTTATGATGAGGAACAATCACTTAAATAAATTAAAAACAAAAGCAGCACTTTTAATTATAGCAAACTCCCACACAGTAGCCAAAGAATTTTTACCAGATTTTGCTTTAAGTAAGAGGGTCATCAGAAAAAAATTCTGGCTTCTTACACTAGTATTTAAATTGGGGAATATAGGCACTCTCATACATGTAATGAGAGCCATTTACATGGGGCCATTTTCGGAAATGTGTCAACAGCTATCAAAACTCAAAATACACATGCCCCTTGACCCAACAATTCCAATTCTAGGAGTCTATTCTAAAGAAATACTCACTCATGTCCAAAATGATCTTCAAAGCAGCATTGCCTGTAATAGTGAAAAATTGGAAACAACCTAAATGTCAATCAATAAGGGAGTAGTTAAATCAACTGAGGTACATCCACACTATGGAATACTATGTGGTCATTAATAACCCAAAGGTAGACTGTCTCTTACTGACATACAAGAGTCCAGAGACACACTCTTCGTGGAAAACTCAAGAGAAAAGAGAACATATTTGATTCAATTTATTTTTAAGAGAATGGATACATATTTACAAACATATACATAAATGTATAGAAAAAGGATTGAAAAAAACCTTAAGTTGTTTATGGGAAATTTTCACTTTTCAATCCTATTGGTTGGGTATTCTTTGACTACTTTACAAAGAATATATTCCATTACTGCTCGTAATAGAGAAAAAGTTTAAAACATGATGAGATTATACAGTCTGAAATAAAGTGTCTGAGGATAGCTACTGAGAAACGACATATCAAATATAGAAAGGTATGCTTTTTTTTAAAGTTATCTTTGAATGATTTTTTTAGCCAAAAGCAAAAGCAACAAATACAGCCATCTAATAAAAATTAAAACTCAAGAGTAATTTTACCTTGCTTACTTTAGAATTTGTATCTTTCTCCATTTTTTTCAAATTTTCCTTTTTGTCTGTTTTTTGCAAAGCTGCTGACTCTTCTTCCACTTCATCTTCTCCTTCCCCTCTTTTTTTATCAGCTTTCTGATCTCTGATCTCAGCCACTTTTGCTGTGGGTCTAGATATTCTTGGAGACCTCCTTAAAGTACGAACCACATTTGTTTTCTCTTCTTCCTTTTCTGACTTCTCGTGGTTAGTTTCTGGTTCTAGAATTTTGGGAGGAGAATCTGACTTCTTACGACTGGATATCCTAATTGTTAATTTGATGCCCTCCTTCTGCCTTTCAGAGGTTATCTCTGTATTTTCTGGAGCAGCGGTTTCTTCTTCAGGAACCAACTTATATTTAAATTTGCTTTTTGGCATAGAGCCTTTTATCTCAGAAGAGTCCTCTGTACCAAGGGTCTGGGCATTGTCCAGGTTAATCATTTCTACCTTCATGGGTTCAGAATCCTCTTTTAAAATTTCTGGGTCTGTTTGTTCCAGGGACTGACCTTCAATGGAACTTGTGCTCTGACACTCTGCCATTTCCTTTTCTGAGGCTGGTTTCTCACAATGGCCAACCATGTTAGATGGGGAGGAAGTTTCAACTGCCTCAGGAGAGCCCAGCTTTTCTGATTCTAGGGTACTCTTTGGAACCTCCTCTGGTATTGGACTCAATCTTTGTGTATCCTTATCAAAAATAGTCTTTTTGGACTTCTCCAACTTTTCAAGACATTCTAGGACTGGTGGGTGCTTATCTTTCTTACTTTTGGGACATTTCTCTTCAACTTTCATGGTATGGGATTCAGCAGAAGATGAAGCAGTTTGTAAAGAGAGATCCTTTGCCATCTCAGAAGGCTCATGAGAGATTTCCATTTCTGGAGGACCAGTTTCCTCTATCTGCTCTTTTGGATTCTGGGTTTCTAAATCTGATATTGAACTTTCTGCATCTTTCCCTAAAGGAACCACTACTTTCTCAAGATCAGCTATTTTTATACTGGTTATGACAGAATTTAAGGACTCTGCTCCGTTTCCCTCCATGATGACACTTTTATCCTTAGAGGGGCTACAGCTGTCCTCCTTTGTATCATAAAACTTAGTCTCCATTTGTTCTGTCTTAAAATTTGGAGTTACCTTTTCATCACTAACTTCGCCATTTACCAGCTGTTTCCCTTCATGACCCAAAGTAGTGATTGCAGATATCCTTTTACAAGTCTCTTCCTCCTGTTTTATTTCATCTTTCAAAAACTCTTTTGTTGGAGTAACTGATTTACACAAAGGTCCTTTGATTGGACTGTCAAAATCATCACTCAATTTAATTTCTCGTTTTTTTAGTGGTATCTTGGCCTGCTGGTCATTTTTAAGTTTCTCGGTTTCTTCAGTGGACTTCTCAGTAAGTTCCTGAGATTTCACATTGACACCAAACTCTAGTCTCTCAGGCTCTAGCTTCTCCATGCTACCTTTGATATCTTTAGGGTCTGCTCTACATTCCTTCACTTCTACTTTAATGGGTTTGACATTTTCCTTGAAGGAATCACTTTCTTCCTTGATAATCTTTTTTTCCTCACTTTCCAGCAACGGTTTCTCCAGCTTTACTATCACTGGCAGTTTCACAAGTTCCTTTTCATCTTCTTTTTCTATTTTCACGGTAGTTTCTTCCAGAGAATTGGGTATAGAATGATGTTCTGAATCTACTGGCTGCTCTTCACTTTTCCTTTTTTCACTTTCCTTCTGTTCCTCTAAAAATCAGAAAAAGTTTACATGAATCTAGGCTCTCAAGATACATAAAATATAAAAGGCTTAACATAACATATATTTCCATTTGAAGTTTCTCTCTTTTAAAAAAGGTGATTTTTGTCACTGGACATTTAATAAAAAATCAAATTTGATGCCCTGGCTGGTGTGACTCAGTGGATTGAGTGCCCGCCTACAAACCAGAGGATTGGTGGTTCAATTCTCGGTTGGGGAACGTGCCTGGGTTGCCGGCCAGGCCTCTGGTTAGGAATGTGTGAGAGGCAGCCAATTGATTTACCTCTCATACACTGTTGTTTCTCTCCCTCTTTCCACTCTATCTAAAAGTAAATTAAAAAAAAAAAAAAATCTGACAGTGAAGAAAACTACCAAACTCTGAGGCATAAACCCTTATTAAAAAGTATTATTCAGAAAGACTTGGGTTTCTCCTTTATTCTTTCAGCTTCAGTGTTCCTAATGGAATGCAAATATTTATACAGCGCAAATAATATAGTCAAGCCCAAAAACATAACTAGAAATACTATATAAAACTTTTTCAAAAGACCGTATTTGTTTGAAGAACTGACAATTGTTCTTTGTAAGTCACTGAGCACTTCCTTTCATTGCGGGAACACAATTATGGCAGGGGAAAATGTTTGGTTTATGTTTTATTCAGATTATAAAAGTAACATAATTTTGTACAGAAAACAAAAAACAGAAAAAAAGTCAGTAATCCTCATAGCCAGAGACAATCATTATTTTAGATTACTCCCTTCTACTCTTATATATTTTTGAGAAAGTTGTGATCATCTTGCTTTTTTTTTGTTGAAATATTAGTACTTTTTTATGATATTAAATGCTTTTTCGAAAAATTGGAACTTAATGATATAACATTTCTCAATATAGTTATATTACAATTTACTTTATCAAATGTGATTATTAACATTTCAGAGTCATTATTTTACAAGTTAACTATTAGGTTTATCTGTCAATTCGTTTTACCTTATTGGTTACATTATGTCCAATTTTTATGGAGTACCTAATAGTACAAATTTAAACAAAAGCCATATTTAGTAACTGGCATAATCTGTAAATGGGATTACAAGACTTCATATATGCTTGTGCTCAGTCAGAACAGTGTTTTCAGAATTTATTTAAGTACTAATTTTATTTAGTTTCCACCACCTCACTCTATCCTGCCTACTGAAGAACTTCAAGTCTAAACGAAGTTTTATCAAAATAGTAAGTTTTACAAAAAATTTTGAAAAGATTCTTGCCAAGTTGATAAACCAAAGTTATAATGTATTACATGGGAATAAAATGGAATGGATACAAATAAGATGAAGTAGGACATGTTTTATACAATGAGAATTCACTGTTCTTTTAAAGAGTGAATTTTTATTATAAACTATTATTTCTTTTATGTCCAGTCAAGTTGCAAATAAAAATTTCAAGTACTCAGAATTATTCAGAACCTGAGATTACAGTATTAAGTACTGTTCCTCTCTCTTTAAGTTGTCAGTAATTTAAACATGCCATGAATAAAATTAAAGACATCACAGTAATTACCTAATTTTATGTCTTCCCTTTCCCACTGATAAAGTAGGTTTAGTAAATTCCTATTCATGGAGATTGGTTTCTGTATCAGCAAATCTGATTAAATGAACATCTTGGTTAACAATTAAAATATAGATTACCCTTTTTAAATACAACTCCAGCCTAATATTGTGAGTTTACTGAACACAATTTCTTCCATATATTTTGGTTCCGAAAGTAATGCAGGATTTCATTATGACTCTTACCTAAGGTAAAATGGTATGAAAACACCACTGTACTCTAAGTATATAATGTGTTAATGTTACAATGGCAACCATATTATTGTGTCTGTCAAAGTAACATGATGTATACCTTAAATTTACAAAATGCTACATGCAAATAGAACCAATTAAAAAAAAATGACACCTATGTTTTTATTTGGAGGTGATAAATGACAAAGTTTCCTCAGTTATTTGAACTGATTTTGATTTGAGTAACAACATGGCAAAATAAAATAAGGAGTAACATTAAAATCAAGACCCCTAGATTCACTAATCTTAATTCAGCTAGTGGTATATCTCTGGGCATGTCACAAACTCTGATTCTCATTTCTTCATCTACAAAAAAGGCAGCTGGAATAAGTTACCTTCGCTAACTTGCATTTCTCTCAATCAAATGAAATTTTATGCATTATCATTACTGGTAAAAAGGACATTCCCTCATACAAGCATTTCCCTAATTTTTTTTTTTTTTTTTTTTTTTGTCAAAAGGAAACTATGAAAGAGGATGCAAATGACTTTAAGAGACATGAAATATGAAGTGACAAACTCAAGGAAAAGTAAACTTCAAAAATGACAATGCAGCAGGAACAGTGCTTGACAAACTTGAGGTGATTCAAGAGAAGTGTTTTTAAAGCCAATTTATTCATTTACTCAACAAATATTTATTGATCACCTACTATGTGCTTTCCCAACCATCCCAACCAGAATCACTGAGTAATGGAACAGTGACTGCTCTTTGTAAGTTAACAGTGAAGGACACTATATATCCCTTCTTTTTCCTTACTAACAGAACACTGATTTTGTTCATGAGAGTATTTGTCCTAAAACTTTTTATCAGGGATTGCAAAATGATGATATTCCTATTCCATCATTCCTATATCAGTAATTTGTTGGAATAAATTCTGCAAAAATAAACTTTACTAAGTAACTATTTTGTCATACAGTAATATAGTTCATATAGAAAAGGTGGAATGAATGCATAATCTTTGTCATTCATATAACTTTTCAAAATAGTAATTCAGTCCCAATGGCATACTTCAAATGTAACCACTTTTTTCATTTTAAATACCATAATGAAATCATAGATTTAAGACATAATAATTGAATTTTAATCCATTATATTTATTATCCTTGTTAATGCTTGAACTGTCGTATCTTTGGCAGTGGAAACCTTTTGGTTGGCTCTTGAGCCTTTTTGATGTGACTCAGATAGTTTCCATACTACCTGAAAGACAAATGTTTCTTGGTTCCTTCTGTCCCAGCATTGGAATCAGCCACTTTTCTAAGAAGCCTTGGTTTTGTTTTGTGGGATATTGTATTTCAAGATCACAATCTGAGCACTAAGGATGCTCACTGCTACTGAGGGGGCTACTGTCTCTAAGTGTATTTGGTAGACAGAGCTAGAAAATGCATGCATATATTTTTAAATAAAAATAACTCAAGTTCAGAATACTATTTCAGACAAAATGGCTGCTCCCGTGCTGCGGGGGTTGTTTTGCTTATCCTAGGCTTTAGGATGGTGGTCTTGGCAGCCAGTCTTGGTGACTCAGTCCATAGCTGCAGTTCCAGTGAGAAGCAAAAAACATTTCACACCTCCTACTTATGAACCCAAACACAAATCAGAAAGGAGTTTATAGAACATGCCCCAAAAGCAGAAGTGATCATTTCTCCAGAACATTGGGGAGTCTCATACATCTGGCCCATACAGCAGGTACCTTTGACACCTATGTTCATCCAGAGGGTGATGCTCGTGTGTCATGTCTTTCAAGGGAAGAACTGGCACAGAAAACTGAGCAACTGAAGAAGAATGTGGCATCACAATTGCCAATACGGAAGGTAAGAGAATATGATGTTAATTTTAAAATAAAGGACTTCCCTGAAAAAGCTAAGGATATCTTCACTGAAGCTCATATTTGTCTAAACAACTCAGACCACAACCAATTTCATACCTTGGCAACTGAAAACTGCTTTCCGACTTTGGCCACCTATGACCAGTTTGGCAGATTGATGTATAGACTAGAAGGGGTGTCCAACCTTTTGATGTCTCTGGAGCACACTGGAATAAGAAGAGCTGCCTCGGGCCAAACATTAAGTATACAAACGCTAATGAAAACCAATGAGCAAAAAAAGGTTTTAACTAAATTCACAATACTGTGTTGGGCTGCATGCGGCCCACTGGCTGCAGGTTGGATACCCCCGCTACAAGATGTGCCCAAGGATGCCCTGGAGTATGCTGTCTTTGAAAAGCATCTCACAAACCCCTATGGGAGCTGGAGAATACACGACAAGACCATCCCTCCAAGGACACCCCCTAAACAGGCCATCTGTAAGGCAGTGATGATCCCTGGCCCCCAGCTGAAACCCCTGGAAGACCATGAAGAGCTACAAGAGACCCATAAGCCTCAGCTAGCCTGATGGCAAAAGGGTTTCCTGAGGTGAAGTATGGGCGATAAGATGGCTGGGAGCTGTGATCACCCTTGTCCATGATGATGTAGAAAGAACTACCTTTGTTTTCTCCTGTCCTGCTTGGGTCTTTCCAGCAGTCTCATCCTTGATAACCACAGCTGATGGCTGGGCCCAGGTGCTATGCACAGCCCTGGACCCACTTATTCTTTAAGTTTTATATCTGCCTCCTGGGCCTAGATGAAAGGCACTTTGTTTCAGAGAACACTTGATACCAATCTTTTCCATAGCAGGGACAGTCAAGAGCAAATTAGTTGAATTTTCTTATCACAGAACAGGGATCAGAGTTTGAAATGAAACACTCTCAGTGTTTTGGGCTAATTGAGGTGGGTTCTGTCCATATTCTGCAGTTCAGGTTAGAAGTGGATCAGCCTTCAAATGGCAGAAATGGAAGACAGGCTTAATTGTGAGTGATGTGTCTTCCAGGAAATGCAGACTTGGGAAAAATAATTAGTGTTTATAAGAGATGATATCATTTAAGAGGGTCTTATCTCATACACTGACTCACTAAATCAGCATTTGTACTTCACAGAAGAGTGTAAATACAATAAAATTATTTATACCCTCCCCTCTGAAAAGAATACTATTTCGGTGTTTCCTTAACCTTTCCTGTATTACATCCTCTTTCTTTTACCCCACATTGAGAATCCTGATTTTCAAGTGTATTCTGTCCCAGAAGAGAGGTTTGACTGGAGGTTTGAGAATTCATGGTGCATCCCAGCTCCATA